GCATCATAGCTTAGCAGGATGGAGTAAGCAATGAGTTTATTATCTGTTTTATTGGATTTTTTTAAAAAATCCTGCCTTTTATTGCTTTATAAGTAACTCAAGGTGGTGAACATATAGATCTTCTTCCTCCTATTTTCCCCACAACAACCCTGTGAGGTGGGTTGGGCTGAGAGGGAGGGACTGGCCCAAAGTCACCCACTGACTTTCGTGCCTGAGGAGGGACTAGAACTCACAACCTCCTGGTGATTGGCCCAAAGTCACCCACTGATTTTCATGCCTGAGGCGGGACTAGAACTCACCACCTCCTGGTGACTGGTCCAAAGTCACCCACTGATTTTCATACCTGAGGCGGGACTAGAACTCACCACCTCCTGGTGATTGGTCCAAAGTCACCCACTGATTTTCATGCCTGAGGCGGGACTAGAACTCACTCTCTCCTGGTGACTGGTCCAAAGTCACCCAGCCAGTTTTCATGCCAAAGATGGGACTAGAAACAGTGACTTTTGACCATTTTTCACACTTATGACCATTAGGACATCTCCATGGTCACGTGATCGAAGTTCAGGCGCTCGGCAATTGACTCATATTTATGACGGTTGCAGTATCCCGTGATTCTCCTATTGCGACCGTCTGAGGAGCCAAGTCAATGGGGAAGCCGGATTTGCTTAAGAACCGTGGGACTAACTTAACATCCCCAGTGATTCACTTAACAACCGTGGCAAGAAAGATTGTAAAACGGGGCCCAAACCACTTAACAACTGTCTCCCTTAGCAATGGGCATTTGGGGCTTGATTTTGGTCGTACGTCGAAGACTACCTATATCACTCTTCTCAAGGAGAAACAGAAGTAGCTTGTGATGACCCAGAACAAAACAAACACAGTCACAGAAAACAGGTGAAGCCCCTTTTATTCCTCCACTTTGCTTCCAGTTCTGAATATCTTGGACGGAAGACAAAAAACTCCCACACAAACAGTTACAAGAAGAAGGGAAAAAGCAACACAAACCAGGCAAGGTAAGGGCTGGAGAACGTCCACAGATAACACACCCTGGGAAGGACGACAAACTCAGGGAGGAATGACAAAACTAGAGATATTTCCATGCTTTGTTTCCAGCGCTCTCCCGTATGCATGTCTGTCCTCTTATCGTTGTCATAGCTGCAGCCCGGCTGTCCCTCCTTTCTCTCAGAGTCAATCTCCACCAGGGGCGCATGACATTGCTCTTCTAATGAAGAAATTGCCCCCAATGGGGGGAAAAAAAACCCAAGAATGACAGCAAAGAGCTGCTTGAAAGATAAAGACACACTCACTCCTCAGGGAACTGAGGAGCCGTGGGCAACGCTCAGAGGTGTGACAAAAAAGTTCCATTTTTAGCGAGTTGCCTTATATCCCTGGCGAATTTCACATGTAACACATCTTTTTTTAAAAAAAAAAGAGGAAAAAAAGAAATCCTACACAAACTTGTCGGCTGTCAAACCGCAGAAGGTCTAAGAATTTAAAAAAGAGAAAGAAAAAAAGAGAAAGAAAGGAGGGAGGGAGGGAGGGAAGGAAGGAAGGAAGGAAGGAGAGGGAAGAAGGGAAAGGACAGAGTAGGAGGAAGGAAAGGAGAAAGGAGAAGGAGGAAGAAGGGAGAGAAGGAAGATGTAAGAGGAAGAGAAAAGGAAGAGGAGAGGGAGGAAGAAAGGAAGGAGGGAGAGAAGGAAGGAAAAGGGGGAAAAGGGAAAGAAAGAAAGAAAGAAAGGCAGGGAAGGAGGGGGGAGGATGAAGAGAAGGAAGGAAGGGGAAAGCGAAAGGACAGGGATGGAAGGAGGGAGGGGGAGAAGGAAGGAAGGTGTAAGAGGAAGAGAAAGAAGGAAGGAAGGAGGGAAAAAGGGAAAGGACGGAGAGGAAGGGAGAAGGAGGAAGAGAAGGAAGTTGGAAGAGGACGAGGAAGAGAAGAAAGGAAGGAAGGAAGGAAGGAAGGAAGGAAGGAAGGAAGGAAGGAAGGAAGGAAGGACTCACAAGGCACCTGGCAGTCTAGGGCATAGCGTCATAGTGTGTCAGAGGAGCCTTGTGCCTCATTACACAATTTAATCACCTACAATTTTGTCACCTCCATTTCAGAACTAACCAGAAACCGAAGGTGGTGATAAAACGGGGCTGCGACTCGGCCAGGTGGGAGAAGATTCAGGCAAGACGGTTAAAAATAAAGGGTGACGACACTTAACCTCTTTCTCTAGAATTGGGGTAGGGGGTGGGGTGGAAAAGAGACCTCACAGTTCAAAAGGGGTAGATCTATACCACACACACACGTATGCACACAAACACACACAAATTAATCTTGCAGTGGGAATGCAGAGACTCACAGACGAGAGAGGGAGGGAGGGTGGGAAGAAGGGAAGGAGGGAGAGAGGAGGGAGAGAGAGGGGGAAGGAGAGGGAGAGGGAGGGAGGGAGGGAGAGAGGGAGAGAAAAAGAGAGAGAGATTGAGATTAGTCTCACTCAGGGTGGAGAACTACAGAACCCAGGCAGCCGGGGCCTTCGATGTATGACCAACACGGGCTCCAACATTTTGGCTGTCGAAGCAAGAGGGGCCTTGCTCCAGTGATTTTTTCCCCGCTTTCACAACCTCTCTTGCCACCGTTGAATCCCTGCGGTGGATCCAAATCAGCAACCCAGATGTTGAGGGGGAATCCAGCTCGCCTGTCGACTCAGCTCGTCAGAAAGTAGCATGACAGGCCCCTGCCCTGGGGGACGTAAATATGGAACCAGCTGCTGAGCGCCTTGAATTTTGATTGTGGGGAGGCTGCAACGGTTGCTAAGCGTGAAAAACAGTCATTTAAGTTGGCTTTTTCTTTCCCACAGTGCCGTCGGTTGCTGAACGAGTAGGTTGTTGAGGACTAGCTGCAGTTAAGAGCAATAGGAGCTCCAAGAACCACCTGTCACTCTTAATCATCACCCGGCCAGGTGCCTTAGGCCAGGGGCCTTCAAACTCGGCACAACTTTAAGACATGTGGACTTCAACTCCCAGAATTCCTCCTCCAGTCATGGCTGGCTGGGGAATTCTGGGAGTTGAAGTCCACACGTCTTAAAGTGGCCATGTTTGAAGACCTCTCTCCCCACCCACCCACCCCCGCCCCGCTTAGGCTGAAAAGCTCACCTGGTTACAGGTGAGGCCTTGGCTGAACCGAGGACGACTTCCGCAGGCTGAATCCGTGAGGCGGTTCTCCTACCTTCTTCACGCCTCTGGGAGAGGGGACCGTCGGAAGTGCTCCGTGTGCGTGTGTGCAAAGAACCCATGGAATGGCACGCTCGGGCGACCAGGCCCCACCACGCCTTCTCCCCCACCCTTACTCCGCTTGTGGCAAAGGGCGGCTTCGTGCAAATCCTGCCTGTTGCCGGCCGAGGCATGTTCCCACTTGCGAAACAACACCACCACCACCACCACCACCACGACTCAAAAAAAACCCCCTGTGTTTTCTCCATCAACCGCCTGCAGCCGTGCTGGAGCTCAGGTGCTTTGCAGCTGCTACTTTACACCCCAGAGCTCTCAACAAAGCCCCAACACACACACCCCCAGTGGAGCTTCACCTGGCAGGTCTGGTAAACTGAGATGGGTAAAGCCCCAATTATGTACGGTGGGGTGGGTGTGGGTGGGGGTGGGGAGGAAGCCAGGATAAACCAGCATCTATCTGCATATGCAAAAGAGCTTTCCCCCTCCCCCAGGGGAGAGGGTTCCAGGTGAGCTCACAGCTGCATCCTGAAAAGCAGCACTCCGCCCTTCCTCTTATCACCAGCCCCCTCTGAGAAGCAGAACCTCCTCATTCAGGGGGAGTCTACCTGCCAATCGGATTTCTTCCCTGAGAGAGAAAAGGGGAGGAATGATTCTTTTTTTTCTTTTCTTTTTTTTTATTCTCTTCCAGAAAATCTCCCTTTTTAAAGTTCAAATCCACCCTCTTCGAGGGCATTTTGCTCGCCTCAGTCTCTCTAACTCAGGGGTGTCCAACCCTGGCAACTTTAAGACGTG